ATTAGAGAGGTTGAGGCTTAGCAAATTATGTAGTTTGACACATACTGCCCCACACAAACTGTATGGGAATGTTAGAGAACACTTTTCTAACCACATCATTTCCAGTGATTAAAAATATCATGGGCACAGGAGGACACAGTTCCTTTAAAAACACTCTGGTTTTCCCACAGAATCAATACATGGCTGCATATGGCGGGGGGTGTGTGTGTTTGTAGGCAGCTTAGCAGTAACATAATATCAGCCCTGGGCACCATCTTAGGAGGGGTACCAGAATCAGGCCCCACCCCACAGAGTCTAGACCCCATCAGCAGAAGTAGCCCCGTGGAGTTGCTCTTGCAGCAGCGGCTGATGCATGAGCACTATATTGCTGTCATAGGAGCAACAGCTGGCATGGGCAAACCACACAGGGGTAAAACACCCATCCACCCACCTGCCCTTTCAGTGCTCCATAGTGCTTCCCTGCCCCTACCCAGCTCTCCCACAGGGTTTGCCCAGCACACAAACCCTACTTGTTACATCCCTGGTGTAGAGGCTCATTAAATAAAGCAGCTGTGAAATATGTTTCATCCATGTTACTTGAAAGTGGAAGATAAAACTGAGCAGATCACAATGCAATGACCCAGGCCTTTCACAGAAGGAACTAAGGTGCAGAGATGATTGTCGAAGGTGTCAACTCATTTTAGGTGCTCACTTTGAGAAGCTGAGGACCTGATTTTTCAGAATAAGCATTTTTTCCTAAGACTTGATGTTCAGAGCACAGTACTTACTGACGTCAGTACTGTAGTATTTAAAATGGGTTACCCAGAAAATGAGGAATATGCAACACGTAACTATGTAAATAATGCAGAGTTTTTTAAGCAGCAGCTTACTTCATCATCAGAAACTCTGTGTGTGTGTGTCTATAAGGTATCACTCTATCCTGCCTTCTGCCTGACTTCTAACATGGCTAACTACTACTCTTTATCTATGCAACATTTGGAATAAGCAACTTGCTCAGTGTTACCAAGGAAAACCATCACAGAAAGGATTAGAAGCAATTCCCTGGGCCAGCATTCACTGTGAGGCTTCTGCCTTCAGTCCTCTGCGCATTAACCAACTGCTGTTTCATCGCTGGAAATGGGGGTCCTTCACATCACAGGCTGGGTTTTGCCCCAGGACACAAGCCATTTTGAGCACCGAATGAGGCACCGTTTCCATGAAAAACAGGATGTAATCATGTAAGTAAAGACTGTGTATTTCCTAAGTCTCGAGTACCTGATTTTAATTTAATATTCTGTAGTGTTTTTTATGGTATACAATAGATAAGTATTATGTTCATAACAACAATCTCAGCTTAGCTATGTGACACTATTGCAACAATCAAAATATAGGTCAGAACAGAGAATTACCTTTTTGTTTAACCCACAGTTTACTTGTCAACACACCACAAACACCCACTACTGCAGCATACACGAGTACAATTGTACCAATTTCCATTTCCTCTTCCAGACCCAAAGTGATCACAGAAGTACATGCACACATGTATGCACGTGCCCAGACACACATTCAAAGGTTTCTCAGTTGCCTTTTTTTACTATCCTCTTTTTAATACAGAAGTAAGAAAAGGGCCTAAGATGCTATTATAACATAATCCTGCCGTAGGGCCATGAAGAAAAGCCCATCTTTATTCTCTCTATAATAGCCCTTAAGATATTTGAAGACTGTTACCAAATCTCCCCTCAGTCTTCTCATTTCCAGACGAAATAACTCTATCTAGCTGTTTCAGGCTCTCCTCATAAGTCATCCCTGGCATCTAATCCTGAGAAACAATAAAAAAAGAAGGAGTCAGCAAATGATGAGTTGCAGTCCCAGCTCTGCTACTGACTTCCTGATTGGACTGTTGCACCTCTCTATTTTCCCACCTGCAGAACACTAATAATAATAACTAGGCCTGTGCAAAGTGGAAAGTATTTGTTTTGGATTCAGCTGATTTGGAGGACAGCAATTCTATTTGGAGATTTGAATCACTGTTCCGATTTGATTCAGCCAAATCAGAAAGATTTGGCACCGCTTCGGAGATTCAGCCATAGACTAAACAGGCAGCTGACAGCTGCTTCCAGCTGGTAAGTCTGCTGGGGTTGGGGAAGAGTGGAGGAGGGAGGAAATGGGCATGGGGGAGGGAGAGACTGGGGCTGGGACAAGCTGCCCAGCTGGGGCGGGGGGCGCGTTACTTAGTGAGGGGGGCATGGGATACAGGTGCAGCAGCACTGGGAGCTTCAGATCAATTTGGAACTTTTAATTGGCCTCCAGATTCAATTTGGATTCAGAGATATGGTCCCCAAATCAGGCCGAATCTCCTTTGAATCGAATTGGCTACCAAAGCTTCACACAGCCCTAAAAATAACCTCTCTCATAAACAACATTGTTGGATGGATCGATTCCTTGAAGTAAATGGAGTCATGTTGGTTCCCACCAACTAAGAATCCGGCCCACTGTCTGTACAGTACTTTCAGCGATGTAGCTACTACCTAAGTGACAGTATGCAATAAACATTCTTTATCAAGAATTTTAAAATTGAGCAATAATTCTAAAACCCAATGCAAAGTGTGGGTGCATGCGCACATGCATGTTTGTGTGTGCACAAATAATTATGGGGGTAGAGGTTAAAAGGGAGTTATGCTAAGTGAAAAAACACATACTGGTGGATAATCTATGGGAAATGGGCAGTAAAAGAAATCAAATGATTGTACCTGATGGGCAAAAACACTTTGTTGTCCATACCAGAAGTGCTGCTGCCAAGGAACAGATGGAATTTTTTCATTTGGCAAAAACAGCACCTTTTCATTCCTGTTTTTATTCCACATTGCAGTAACTTTAAGTTCACACTGACCTTTTCTGCTGTAGAGTTAATTGATTAACTGCTCTATTGTTGCACATTTTCTCACTACAAATTTCAGCTAGCTGATGACATGAGTATGCTTATTTGATGCCTTTTTCTTTCCCCCTCATCAGGTCTTCAGTTTGGAAAAGTTTGAAGACACTGATTCTAACGGAACAAACAAATGAATCTAAGGAATCACTGCTAGTAATTCAATGGATTCACAATTATTGGCCTAACAATTATTGGCCAGCAGGGTGTAAGTAAAATCAGGCCTACTCTGTGTATAGTCAAAAACTCTGAATTACCTTTGTTGCTGTTAATGGTGAGTCAGTAGAGATCTCGCTAGTTGATTTTTTTCCTCCCTATTCTTTAATAAATTGAAATCTGAGCCCTACATGTTAAATATCCTCTGACCATTTTAAAATACAATTCAACAAAAAAGTTGTAGACGAGAACTATAAAAGAAAACTATATAAGAGCATGGAAGTTTACTATCTGAATTTTCACAATGCATTCACCTATTTAAGGTAGAAATTGCTGCTCCATCTCCAGATTTATGGTTATATTGATCCAACTGGTCTTTCCAAAGTCATGATGTACCCTGAAGCTATCACTTCTCTTTTTACTAGATACCCTTTATGTCCACATCAATGCTATAACCTACTGTATTTAGCAATATTATATATTGTGTTACATGTTTGTGGCCATACAATTTTATATATTTTTTCTGTCTACATGGGCCAGAAAAATCCAGCTGGTTATAACTTAGTTTTAATCTTGGTGCAGATAAAATCATGTTATAAAACAACTAAACATAACCATGTTTTCAGAACTCCAGGGTCATTTGCTAGGGTTTGATAGGACCTTAAAATCAATCCTCTGCAAATATGTATGCAAACTTAAAAATGCACACATCTCACTGCTGTTCTACATCAGCCTCTGCACACGCAGCAGTAGGTCTCTGTGCTGCTGCCGAACAATTAGAACCCAATTACCAGTCTTTTCCCCCTCCCTTGAAGTGTTGCTGCTATCACCAATTACCTTGTTATCTCAGAGCAGCTCACAAGCTTTGGTATTAAGGAACCAAAGTTTTATCTCCAATCAGTGTAAACCTGGATGAGCTATCAAAATGTCAGAGTTTTACTGGTATAACTGCATAAGAGGAATTGTCTCAAGGAATCTTACTAAAGTTGGTTGAATCTCTTTTTCCTTCCTTTCCCCTGCCCTTTCCTTTTAAATGAAAACCTGAATAATTGCAAGAAATTCAGCATTGCAAAAATAGTTTGGGTCTGCTAGATTTCTTTGCAAGGATAAGACTATAAAACCTGGCATAGAAAAAAAGAATAAAAAAGCAAAAATTACTAATTTATACCAACCGTTACAATGGTAAGGAATCTGGCTTAGTGAAGTAGTGAGCCTTATTAGTCTGACATCAGGCAGAAGGCAGGGTAGACTTGCAGTTTATAGATTAACCAAAATGGAGACATAAAGCAAAAATCTCCCATTTGTAAACTTTTGTAAGCAAAAGGCTTATTCATCAGAAGCTGAGAATCTGCTTGCAAGGTCAAATAAGTCATTCTGCATGGCCATTTGTATTTTATCTCTATTTCTAAACATAACCAGCACTTAAGAACTGTAGAGGCCAGGTGAATGTTTAAACATCATTCATTTCAATAAGTAGGCTATCTACAATAAGACTCATGTTATCTGAAAGAAGGCAAGTAAAATGGACTTGTAAAAAGTATCTACAAAACCAGCTAGTATGTAAAGATCGATATACTAGATTTCATACAGTTCTGTCAGTCCACCCTGTGGATTCTCTACTGAAAAGCATCCAGATCTTTCTTCAAATTCCTACCGCGAAAGATTAGAGGCATGTTACAGAGGCAAGTTGTTAGGTGACTGTTAAAACAGTTTCCCATCCATCCACCCAGATGCTGTTACCGTGAGATTTGAATGCCTTTGCTGGGAGGTGGGACAGAAAAGAAGTTAAAACAATAAGCATAGAGCTACTTTTGTCTCGCACTTCCAGGGTTGGATGCTGCTCCAAGCAGAGGTGAGTAAAGAGTGGATGGTAATGCAGCTTGAAGCTCTGAACTGAATTAAACTTGTTGGTAAAGGATGCCCAATTCCTGGAATGACAATGAGCTGTGCAGTAACTGGAAAAGCCAGGAATAATACAAAATTCATAGAAAATGCCAAAGGTGAGAGGGGGCTATGGAGAGAAGACTGTTACATTTTCACATCACAATAGCCACATAATCAAATCCCCTGCTTTTGAATGCTTTTGTTTTAATGCTGCTACAGCACTTGGGTGGAGAAAATAGCTGCTTCTATTTCATGCTGCTAGATGGAGGTTTTGACAGGTAGGAGAAAGGTAGAGTCAGTTCATTGCCCAAGCATGCAGGACACTGCACCCAACTGGATGGCACATCTCTGCTTGGATAAAATAACTTTTGCATACTGCATCTGATCTGTTGCCATATTTCAGGGAATGTTCTGTGCATCAATGGGCCGAACACTGAAGATTCTGGTGAGCAGCAGCAAAGGAAGTCTGCATGTATAGAGGAGGAACACAGACTCTAGCAACAGCTTAGCAGAGCTACCTATGTACTTGTTGGCCAATGGTAGCTGTTGCATCCTAATTATAGGCTTAGCTTAGTTCAACCTAGCTTTTCATTATAAACTAAAGATATTGATGTCCTGAAAGAAAAGAAGTAATAATGGAGAATATACCTGCACTAGGGGAGTTTCACCTGTGCAGACATATGGATATGCTGCACTGGAAAAGGCCCTGCTAGCATGGACACAGTTGTAAAATCAATGCACTAGAGCAGGGCTTGGCAAAATACAGCCTGAGAGCTGGATCTGGCCTACAGAGGGACTTTTTCTGGCCCGCAGTAGGTCCCTTGGTCCAACCTGGCCCTGTACTGTCTGTCCTGTGGCCACTCCCTGAGCATTCAACGGGGTTGGGGCTTTCTAGGCAGCTCCTTCTGGCTGCTGCCCCTTCTGGCCCCAGCCCTGCAGTAGTGGTAGGGACCTGTGTGCACAGCCCCCATCCCAGCCACCTTGTGCCTGCTCCAGACTTGGCTTGGTGGTGCAGACCAGCTCTGGACCAGCTGGAACCTGCGCGCGCAGCCCCAAACCACCCTTCACCTGCTCCAGACTTGCCTGATGCACTGAGCAGTGGCAGCAGTGGTGGCAGCCAAGCAGAAGTTGCTGCTTGTCACAGGGGAAAAGCGGTCCCACCCTCTCACTGCTGCTGGGTGCTTCTTGCTGCACACCCAGAGCACATACCTGGGTTGACCTGTCACTCCTGTGCACTGCCACCTCTTCCCTGCGGGGCATCCCAGAGGTAGCAACAATGGCAGCGGTGAGGAGCAGCAGGGAAGCCCAGGCATTGTTGCAACAAGTGCCCAGCAGTGGGAAGGGGGAAGGGCCACTTTTCCCCCTCACACTGAGCAGCAACTTTTGCTTGGCTGCCACCGCCACTGCTGCTGCTTAGAGCAGGCGGGCAAGTCTGGAGCAGGTGCGGGGCAGGTTGGGACTGTGCATGTGGGTTCCAGCTGGTCCGGAGCTGGTCTGCTCCTGGGCTGAGTTCAGAGCAGGCACGGGGTGGGATGGGGTGGGGGCTATGCGCGCAGGTCCCTGCCAGTACCATGGGGCTGAGGCCAGCAGCATTGGAAGCCAGAAAGAGCTGCTGCTATCACCTAGAAAGGTGACTGATACAAGTTATACTGGCACAGACAGAAGCATGTTTTATTGGTATACCTACCCCTCTACTAGGGCCTTTGCTAGCGAAGGTATGAATCAAGCATTACATCTTATTACGCCCCAGACTGACACAGCTATGCTGTAGACATGGCCAAAGTGTGGTAAGGGAGAATGGAAATCGGAGTGCACAGAATCTTTCCGTGGTGGAAATGTGAAAGGGGCACACAGCACTGGGTGGAGGGGAGGAGTGAGAAATGTACTTAGAGGTGGAAGATAAGGCATGGTGGGAGGAACAGATTTGCAGGAAGGCACTGAAATAGATAAATGGGGGTGGGGGTGGAAACTGGCATGAGAATGAAGTAATGCAATGGAAAAAGGGGGGATTACAGGCATACAGAAGCCACGGCATGAACAAGACAGTGGCACAATAGGGGTAGGGAGAATGGGGAATTCACAGAGCCCCAAGCATGTAGCAGAGAAGCCTGGTGATGCCTAGATCCCTGGCCATATGGGAGAGATAAACGTGGGTGCCCCCACACCCCTTGCATGGGTGAGAGAGTATTAAGGGAGAAGGAAACCAAGAAACAGAAGGTGGTTAATAAGGTAAAATAAAAGGAACATCAGGACCCCTTGTGGGCCACAAACTCGACCTGCATAAGCTATGAAGGGACTGACTCTTTAGTTCAGGGGTAAATTCTGTCAGCTAGGGAAGGAAGGGGCCTTTGGTCTCATGCCAGTTTTGCATGGTCCTTGGTCAGCTTGGAAAGAGGATTTATATAATCCTCCAATCCTAGGATTCATACAGTCCCTCCACATAGTGAACCAGAGGGCATAGAGTTGGCACTCTGATTTTTTAAATTGATTTTAAAATAGACTTTTTCCTGCATTATACAACTCAAAAATAATCCTTTGCTGCATTTCTAGAAAGGCCAATATTTCTTATGTCCAAATGAGGAAGATAAGTAATGGCTCAGTAGCAGGTGGTGTAATACTGCACCATCTTATCTTTATTCAAACATTTATCAAACAATTACCTCCAGAGGAGAAGCATTATGCAGCTGTTTTGTTCAGGTAACCAGGATGACATTATTACCAAAAATAAAGCACATTCTTTATGTTGGAGACTGTTGCTAGAGAAAAAATGAATATGAGCACACTGCGGTGAAAAACAGCACAAGAGAAGGCAGTGGTTACTTTACAGTAACCACTATTCCTATATTCCCTCCAGTGTAATGTGCTGAGGGCTAATTAAGGAAGACATTTCCACATTGCTTTGTTGTGGAACTATTGTGAAAGGATTATCTGACTAAGCAAAAATGTGCTCAATTTAAATAACTGCATACAGGCGCCTGGTTCACTGAATCAGGGAGTTAAGCTGTCCTGCTGACACAGGGTTGATTGAATGTCAGACCTGATGGTGTCACTAGCTGTTCACCTATACAGCATTATAGGCAAGAGTGACACTTTGGAAAACAGATATACCAGTAGTGCCCTGTCCCTGGGAGGTCACAGTCTAATTCAGACACGAAACAGCAGTAATGACAATAAACTGAGTGTAGTGTTTGACAGTGCAACTGTACAGCAAAAGATATTACAATAGCAAAAGATCTTAAGAGAAACTTCTGATTCATACACCTGTTGTTTCCATCTGATGTGGAAGTATTCATGTTTTGTCAGCAAAATTTGGAGCTGGTTGCATTATGGATCCCATAACAGGCAAATTTTGTATTTTACGCCAAATGAGCTTCTGGATAATTAGCTACATTCACACAACTGGCGGCAACTTTTGCCTAAAAGTGTCATCCTGTGAGCAGAAAGCCCTTTTGAAAGACAGATTATATTGTTAAAGATCTTGCTTATACTGTTAAGGATCTACAGCCTTTCAGGTGTGGAAAGATACCTCTATACTGGATGCATGTGGTTTTAGGAAGAATATGGGAAATTGAATTTGCTAGTTCAGGTAGAATTGTATTGCTATCTTTGATAAGGACTTAGGGTGAGGTTCTTAAAAACACTTTATACATATAATGCAACATGCAGAGGGCCATCAAGATCAGAATCTCTCCCCCATCCTAGTTTCTTAGCTAATGGCTACAATGAATGATGTTGTCATTGACAGTGCACAAGAGAGCACATTACCTTTGGTTTAAGCAGAGAACACAGGAGAGCTAAGACAACTTGGCTTAGGTCCCACAAAGAAACCTGATGGGTGGAACTTCATAACTAGGTCCTTCAGGAATTTCAACATGACTGAGTCAGAAAAACTTCTTTTTTCAGCAACTGAGGGATGAGATGCAAAGACTACTGACAGATACCCTTGGACCAAAAATCAGTGACAAGTCACCATTTCAACTGTAGCAGTGAATCTGTAATTTCATGTACAAACACTTTGCATACTACCATAGATTTCTTGCTGTACCAGGAAGACCACACCACCATCATCAAGTAACCTTTCTATTATTGACCAGGCTATCCTGGGCTAGGATCATTTTTGGAAGGAAGGATCATTTTTGTACTCAGAAGCCATCTGGAAACCAGGCCAGGAAAAGGAGAGCGTTCAAGTCTAGATATAGTTTATTCCTAAGCTCTCAACAGCAGATCTGAAAGCAAAGGTGAGGTTTTGAATTGGAAGGATGAAAGAGTGCATAACATTAATGAATCAAAACTGTTTGGACCATGCTGGGGCTGAGTCTTGTTTGATTTTGGGAATCGGGGTGAAGTTGTTCTACAGGCCCCCTTATCCATGAAATAAGGCAGGCATCAGGCAGGAGCCCAGAGGTCAAAACCCCTCTTGGAACAGACTATTTGATTTTGTGTTTCAGACAGCTCCATTTAAAGATAGCCATAGCCCAGGAAAATATCCTGGAGAATTAATCCTTGATCTCTTACATTCAAAGAAGTGTCTACTTAAGTTGTCTGCCAAAATAGACTGTAACCAGGTAGTATCTGGTACCTGATACACCAGTTTCAGAGTCTCATTGCATGCTTACCCACAAAACATCTTGCCTTGCCACATATTGATGTAGACCTAGGTGGTACAGGCACAATACTTGAATCAAGGTGATCCCAAGGTGCCACACTGGGTCCAGAATATATGTAAATAATACTAACAGGTTGCTAAGGGACAACTGAGCTAAATGTTATTTAACTAATTGTTAAGTTACTGGAAATGCTACCTACCTAGTGGCTTAAAGCTGGCTAGCCATGGCGTTCACTGTTCTCCGTGTGAAGTGCAAAGACTGTCAGGGTGCGTCCATGCATGCAAGCACGTGCACTTGCAGCAGCTCAAATAGAAGCGGTACAAATTTGAGCCAGGGCTTTTTGCCTCAGTGCAGGTGCACTTTGGTGTGGGGCAAATTGTGCCACTTGGGGCAAAATAACCCTGCCTGCCTTCTCCCAGATCTGCAGCCAGGGGGAGCTAGAGCCTGGGGCCAGCACCTGTGCTGGCCCCGGCAGTATAAAAAACTGTCCTGTGCTGGCCCCATCAATATAAAAGCTGCCCTGGCAAGTAGCTCAGGGATACTTGCTCTCAGGCTCTTCTGGGGCAGCCCACCAGAGTTTGTCGTGGGGCCAGCACCTCGCCCAGCCTCATGGCACTCCCTGCTTCACCACCTGAGCTGGTTGGAGGACACCACACTGGTCCGCTTTTCCACTGTCCATTGCCGCCACCTCTGTATATTTGTATGCCACACTGGCCATTATGCCGCCCTCACATCCCACCCAGACACCAAGTGGCGGGACCTGCTTGGCAAAGGTGTGACTGGGGCACCCCAGTGTCTGAGTCTGTACTTCACCTTCATCCCATGAGCCACTGGGGACCCCAGCTGGTGGCTTCTCCATGGAGCCATCACCACAGGCATGTATGTGGCAAGCTTCATGGACACCCCAGTCTCCTGCCCCTTCTGCAGGCAGAGGGAGACCCTGGTGCATATGACCCTCAAGTGCACCAGGCTGCAGCCCCTCCACTTCCAGGTCCTCCTCCTGAGTTTCTGGTTGAATTTCACCCCCCACCTTTTTGTTTTTGGTCACCCCATCTGTGGCCCCACCAAGTCCCGGGACCTTGTGGTCAACCTCCTACTGGCC